GAGTTGTGCTTCCCCTCTGCTCTTCTCTCTCCACACAGAAAAAAACTTATTTTTTTTTTTTTTTTTTAAAAGCTAAATTTGAGTGGATCTGACACAGGAAAGTTTAGGTGCTAGAGGATTGCACTGTTCATAAAAATAAGACTTAGGGAGAATTCCCAAATCCAGGAATGATAGCTAGTGGGAGCGAACTGTGATACAGAGTCTGCCAGAAGTCCCAAACCTGGATGGTATGTGACTAAGCATTTCCAGTATAGGAAGAAAAATAGGACAAAAAAGAGTGATTGTGGTGATGAAATTTCTAATTCCACCCAGTACCCTGTGGGAGGAGAGAGGTAGACTTCTAATAAATTTTTCATCTCAGAAATATGAGCTTAGTTGGTGACAATGTATATATATCTGGATTCAGCTTCGGATATTGTTGCATACAAGTCCCTTTTCTTATGAAATGTGTAATATTTGATGTGTGGGAGGGCTTTTGTTTCATAATGCAAATGCTTTTTCTTGAGGCTTTTCTCAAAGCCAAACTTGCTGAATTTCAAAATACCAGTAGAATATGTATGTGGCTGAGAACATACACAGCTTAAATCTGCTATGTTGAATGCTCTGATTCGTGTGTGAGAAATTCTTGCCAACATGTAACTGATAAAATCAGGTCAAAGTAAAAACACTGATATTTGTCCACATCAATTTGCGCATGTGTGTCAGGGGTAAGGAGAGGGGGGAGTAGTCCGGTAATGTGATTCTAATGGTCTTTTTAGATGCTGTAAGGTTCTAATAGGTATTTTTTTTCTTTTTTTTTAGGAGTAAATGAGGTAGACTACAGCCTTTATCCTAACAGAAAATTACAGGAACAATGGCTGAGATCTTACCTTGAGGCCTACAAAGAATATAAAGGATTTGGCACAGAAGTCAGTGAAAAGGAAGTTGAAGTTCTATATGTCCAAGTCAATCAGTTTGCACTGGTAAATAACAAACTGTTGATTAGAATATGTTAAATGCTACAGAGAAGCCTGTTACTCTGTGGATAAATGTAATTGCCAGTTTCTTACTCTGAGTGCTGTGGTATGTAAAGAAAAACTTCCTTAGCCTGTTTTATGGAAACTTTCTGTTATCTTGTGTGTTAAAAATTCTCTGTAGAATTTTCCTAGTGAAAGAGGCAGTGAGTATTCAGAAAATGAGATGGACTTTTAGCAAGTGTTTCTACTGGCTGTTTATTGGTCTGGCACGTTCCTGAGTTGGCTAGAGCTTATGGTGGGTCTGTGTTAAACTTTTTCTTGTAATGATAAGAAGACAGAAGAGCAAGGTAGTACTGCATAAAGACCTGTAAATCTTCTGATTTTTAAAAGCCTTTTTAAAGTAAGATGATAAATTTTGTTAAACAAGGATACTTTGGGTTTGGTTTTGTTTTGTTAACAGATAATTAGGTCACTCTAGAGTCTTTTGGTACTACCTTAACTCCTTCCTTGCCTGCAGTGTCTTGTCAAGCAGGGAGTTGCTTTCAGCTTTGGTTTTGGTCACCTTAATGGTTTAAATTGTAGCAAAGTGCACATGTAGTCGTCTCTGGTTCCCCGGAAGTTCTGCCTTTCTGTAGAATGTGAGGGCTCTCTGTGTGAGTCTGCTCCCTGCTCCTCCTGTATCTTGTGCATTATAAGCTGTCTCCTGTCTGTCAGTCTGTCTTTCCTTGACTTCGGATGTAAAAGCTTCACTCCCTTGTTCTTTCCCTTTGAAAGGATGAGCATGTTCAGTTTTGATCTGCCTCCAGAAAATTCCACCTGGCTTCGGTGCCTTGTCCTTCAGGGAAAAAAACCACATCATTCATGGAGGTAGAATAAGAAGTCAGATAGATGTGGCATTGAGTCCTTGAATGCTCCAGTGGTGTACACTGTTAGAAGCAGTTTGAAGATGTCTTTTTTCTCTTTTTTCCCAAGCTTTATCTCTGTGATTTCTGAAGATACTTTACAGGTTCACATTATTTTTGTTATCTTTTCTGACTAGCCCTGATCTTGCTTTGTGTAGAGGATGTAACATGAAATGTTATAGCAAAAACGCCTTTTACCCAACAGCTACATAATTTTATTTTGCTTTGTCCTGAAGAATAACATGCCAAACTATTCATAGGAGGACTAAGGCGAAGAAGCCAGTTTGGCTTTATTTCAGCCCTCTTTCTGACTAATCCAAGCACGCCTCTGTTGCTGTAATACCTTCGGTTTTCTGGCAAAAAGCTAGTGGTTGCAGTGAGGAAATACAGTTCATCTTCTAGGAAGATGATTATTAAGCAAGCCCTTAAAAAATACCGCTTATTTGCTGTTGTTCTTTTAAAATCTGTATTCAGATCAGTCAACTGTTACTGTTAAATTCAGCTGTCCCATTCATTTAGGAAAGTTAGATCTGCAAATAAATAGGGTGGTGGTCTGTTTTAAAATATACAGCATTGTTTTGTCAGTTTTAAACTATGGTCATGCTAATGTTTAAGAGGATAGAGTTCTGTTTAGAGAACAGCTCAAGACCTGCCTATAGACCACACATGATGCACAAATACTGCCAAACGCTCTTGTGTCGGTTACGCGGGAAGCTTTGTTAAGAGAAAACATTAACTGAAGTTAATGGATGCTGGTGTAAAATGCCAAGCTGCTCACTTACCAGGCAATGTTATCTGAACTAGAGGTACAAGAAAGATTCACGTGTACATACAGTAGTTGCCATTTTAAGGTTTTTTCAGGGGTGTGTGCATGCGTCTTCTACACTTCTGGTAGTGTTATGTGGAAGCTTCAGGAAGCAATTGAGGTAATTTCTGTAAGCAGTTATTTACTGAACAGGAGTCTGAAGTATATCAGTTGTAATCTGAAGTGTATCACTTGTAACCTGGGTGGTCCAGAAGTCTCTTCCACAAGGAGACTATCAGGCTTATGGCCATTACATGTATTTGTTCATTTGAAGTATACTAACAATCATATTAACATAATCCATAGTTTCAATCTGAAACTGAACATAGGCCTTCAGACTACTTATCTGAACTTGTAATGGAAGTAAGTTTGGAATAGATGAGAAATATGTAAATGCTGATGAGCTAGAGGTTCTCTTACATAGCTACAGGGCATATCTCTTTGTCCAAGTCCGTAGTGAAAGTGAGTTGTAGTTATAATGGCTTAAGTGTTGTAATCAAAGATTCAAAAGGAATTTCATATTTGCACTAGAGTTGAATACATGTAGAATAATGTATATTAGCAACAATAGAAATGATAGTCGTATTTCTGTGTATTTTTTTAACGTGGTGTATATAGTTGTGCAACAGTCTACTTAATAGATGACCTATTTCATAAATGCAGCATTACTTTTCTTGAAAACGACACGTGGAGAGTCGGGAGGCCAGTGGATTTACTCCTCTGATTGCCAGTAATTAATTCTATAATGCTCATTTACCAATCTCTTTGATAAAGAGATATCAAATAACTTTACAAAAAGATTGGATGTTGAGAGTTCCCTTGTAGATAACTTTTTGTCTCAATGTGAGAATATGTTTACATGTTGGGTTTTATATAATGTTAATCTTTCACTAATATTTTTTTTTCTTTCAGGCTTCCCACTTCTTTTGGGGATTGTGGGCTCTAATTCAAGCCAAATATTCCACCATTGACTTTGATTTTCTAGGGTAAGTGTGCTTGCTACGTATAATCATAGAGTACTTGAGGCTGGAAGGGACCTGTGGGGCCATCTAGTCCAACACTCCAGCTGTCAGAAACCGAGATCTGAGCAACAGACCTGATCTGTGTGATCATACTATAACTCTTAATTTTTAAGTGAAAACAAGACAGTAAAAGCGGTCTTGTCTGTGATTTTTGTTGCTGAAAGTTCTCTAAATTAGTATGTGCCCTGGGCCAAAACACATAGTATAACAAGGCAAGGAACATATGTAGAGGGGTAAATGTTTTTGAGCATTGTGTGTTGGGTTTTTTTTGGTTTTTTGGTTTTTTGTTTTGCTGGAGAGACAATGGCATAAAAGCCAAGTTGGTCAGTGTGGTATACTGTCTGTCAGATACAAGACCTATGTTTCCAACTGCAAGAATCAAGCAAGCAACAGGGCTCTTGTGCAGAAGAGCTTGTTTCCTTCTTATTGCATGGAGTGTTGATCTTAGAAATTCCTAATCTTTTTTTAAAGAGTCTTTGTAATGCCAATGAATGTTAAGTTCTTTTTCCTGAGACGCTGGCCAATGGTGTTCTATTTCAGGTAGATGTGTGTCTCTAGCATTTTTTTAAATGGTCTTTCAGGGCAACAAGCAGAGGAATTCACCTCTCCATTGGGAACTGGGCAAGGTGATAAAATTAATCATTTCACTTGGTAAAAGATCCCACTTCAGAATTTTTTGCACTGACTCAGCCATTTCCCTAGGCTTAGTTGCATCATTTTGTAAATGAAACAAATGTGAATTTCTTCTGTGGCTAATTATTCTCAAGTAGAAGTACTTGTTAGTAACCACTAGATGGCACAAAAACCCAAGTTAAAGCACAGGTGGTAGACCCCAAAAGAGTGTCAGTTTTTTGAACAAAATGTCGGTCTTGCAATGATCAAGATCAGATTTCCTTGGAATTGTAGTTGTCAGTTGTCGGACAGTCTAAGAGCTATTAAACACGAAAACACCACCTCTGATAATCCCGGAACAACATCTGTTTTGCAAACTGCATCAAGCTGGGAGTCGGGAAGATGGTGAGAAAGTACTGTAATATGGTTGCTCTGTTCCTAATTTCTTCCTTTGGCAGCTGGTAAGGGTCGATGTTGGAAAGAGGGTACTGGGGGTAGGTGGACTTTTGACTAGTCCTACCTAGCATGGTTGTTTTCATGTAAGGAGTTACCTGCTCTTAACTTCAAATTTTTCTCTCCCTTTGAATAGGTATGCAATTGTTCGGTTTAACCAGTATTTCAAAATGAAGCTGGAGGTCATGACATTAACTCTTCCTGAGTAATGAAGAGGAAGAAACTTACCAAGTGGATAGACAACCCCTGAATCTTTTCTGAGAACAGATACTGGAAAAAAGCTAAACATTTGTTGAAGTTCTGTAATGCTCACTTGGTGGTTCTTGCTTTATAAATAATGCCTCTAAACAGTCCTTCAATGTTAAATTTAATATGAAGAGCATACGTACTGCTGTTGATATAAAATGGATTAGAAACTTGCTAAATCTATAAAAAGTTGTAGAAATGGCAATTTAATCCTTCTTTGTAATTTAACATATGTTGTATGTGAATTATTTATTATAAGTTTAACATGATTCCGTTGCTGCTTTCATCAGTTTTTGTAAAAGTTGGGTGCAGACAGTGAAGTTGTTCCAAGGGATTCGTTTAACAACGTATTTTATTGAAGTTGCATTAACTTATATTAAAGAAAACATGGTCAGAGAATATTAACCTTTTAGATGTATACAAGCAAAATATGAGCGATAATAGACTTGAGATCACCAGTGTGCTGTAACTAGGGAAAAAGCTTAGGGTGATCTTTATTTTTTTCCCTGCTTTTTTAAAAAAGAAAAAGGTAGCTTTCCATATGATGGTACTTTTCTTCTGTATAAGAATCAACCAGCTTGCTGAAATAATAAATAACGTTTTGATTTTTCCTTCTTGATGCATTAAGCTGTAGAAATGTTAAAGTTCTGTGGCCATCAGATTCTTTGAGGAGATATGTACCATCATAGTGTTCAACGTACCATCTGTAACTTCTGTGGGAAAGCTGCTTGTTTATGAAGTGTACTTTTAAAGCAAAAGACCACTATCCAAATCTATATTCCTTTTTGAAACTTGATTCTAAATTTGAACACTATTCTGGTGTCTGTATTTGATGTGCTTCAGCAGTATCTAGCGGAACGGACTATTGAACGGAAGATTAGTGAACAGAGATCCTGTTGCACTGGGGAGCAAGACACTTAGGTTTACAGTTCGTGTATTGTTGACATCTTTCTGCTTTGTCATCTTCTAACCTTGGATTCCAGTCTTAAATGCTTGGTCCTGTAGTTGCAGATTCTGGTATGTCTGTTATTTGGTATTTTTGTTGTTTTGGTTTTTTTTGTGGCAGCAAATTACTTTTCAAAGTCTCCAGTTTGAAGGATAATGTGGAAAAGTATATGACTTGAACAGTGGGGCTTTGATCATCACGCACGTTTTCTTATTTCTTAAAGCTATTATACCAAGAATGGTCTGGATTACAAAATGTGAATTGAAAAGAAAATGTTTACTTAACAAAACAATGTGTAAGTTTGAGTGGAAAAGAGGCTTTAAGTCTGAAGGGGGACAGTGGGGGGAGAAACCCACAACAAAAATAAAACCCAACAATGCAGTATGGAGTTGGGCAGGCATGTACTCAACTCTGATTATACTCTGAAAAACTTTGCACTTTGGTCACATAAGTGCCCACATGTACAAAGTCTGTGTGTGTGCATGTACACGTGCAAACACAAACTTACCTGAAGAGTAAATATTATGGGGAGTCTGTTGTACAGACTCCAGCAAAGATATTTATTCAAAATTGCTTTATGGCACACTGGGGTGTGTGTGTGTGTGTGTATGTGTATATACATACACACACATATATACACATATGTGCTTTACAAAAGCTTGGATTGATTCAGGACAAAGAAAATTGATGTGAATGAAAAACTTTCACCTTGAAAGACCATTTTGAATGGCATTCTGTTATTTTACAAAAGCAAGGTTTGGGATTTTTTTCCTCTTGTTTATATTCATCTCTGAATGTTTCCAATTTTATTTTATTTCCTTCAGTCAAAACCTTAGAAATCCTAATACAAATGGGAGAACTGGGATTTTTTTGTAACTTGAAATTGGGTAACCATGATCGCTAGCATTTGTTAGCTGGAGGCTACTATCCTGGACGAATTTTCTTGGTGGTTAAATAGAAACAAATAGCTAAAATAGACATTTATATTTTCCTCTGTAGCAGTTATCAAGGGTGTTGCTAGAGCTCATGAAAGCACTGAAGACTTTAATTTTCTGTACTTTCTCCCTGTTGTGATATTATTGACATGTGTTGAATAATACCCTGCTGTCTTGGTAGTCCCTTTAAGTTCAGCAAGATACGCTTGGAAGTAAGATTGATAAAGATTTGTGAACTCTTATTACTGTTTCGTTCAAGTGATGGCTTTATTTCTGGCAGTGTAGCTTTGTATTTGTGAAATATTTGAAAAAGGCTGTGAAGTTCACTTGGTCTTGGGAAATCCAACACTTGACAGATCCTAGCTTTCCCAACAGCTGGCAATCTACATTCCCTTTTCAGGTACCAGTACTATTTACGTTTGGAGTTAGTGTAATTTTTTTCAGTAGTATTTTTATTTGTATAGCTCAAGTAGCAATAACTGTAGGAGTGGAAGCTTGCTTCTGCAGAACCAAAGCTCTTCATGAGTGCAGCTCAATCTCATTCTTGTGGAGTGAAGTTCCACTGAATCCTGTAAAAGCACTTTGAAGCAGATAGTAAATACTGCAAGCTTTTCCTGAGCCACTTCGAAGAAGCACAAGGATTATCACAGGTTACAGCGGTTGACTTTGCAGTGCTGGTGGAGGCTTTCATTTTGCATGTTGAAATTAATTTTACACACTTAAATGCTGCTTTGCATCAGCTTTCTTTCAAGACAAGTGCAGGTTAAAAGAACTGATAAGTTCTGAGGAAATACTGTAAAACATTTTCCAAAATGAAATGCCAGTTACCTTCAGCCTTGTTCCACACCCGTTTGAGCCAGTAGCACTCAGATATTCTCACTTTGCTAAGGAATATCTACAGGTGTGTGAAGTTTGAAGCAGTAGCTTGCAATAGCGTTGCAGATTACAAGGTGGCTTGAAACTGTGAATACAGGACATTCTGAATGTAAGTTCGGTACTAGAGCACCAAACTAGAGAACATGTACTTGTTTCAGTTAATTTATCTCAGTCTCCTTAATAGCAATGTTGAGATATTCGAAGGAGGACAAAAAACCGACTGAGCTCTAGAAACATCCTTAAGTAGTTTTGACTGTGACTTGCCAAGAAGATCTTCTGTTGCCTTTATGTTAAGCTGAGGGCATGAATGCCAAAATTAATAATTCTTACTGTAGTTAAACCCATACTGTAAATATAAAGAGGATTATTAGTAACGGCATTCTTGCATAAATAGCATCAAGTCAATAGACCATAGCGGCCTGGTTGCTTTTGTAAAGCAGAATAGTGTGAATTTTTTTCTTCTCATTTCTGCAGTCAGATCTGGCTAATCCATGCCTAATTTCATAAGTTACCTAAGCATTAAAGGTTTCTGAATGATAACTAGTCTCTTCTCACATAATTTTAAATTCCTTCACTTACACTTCTTGATTTGCATTTTAAAAGGACGTACCGAATTTGCATTAACCAGGTCTGACTGTGTGTGTATATATACAACAGTGTAAATAACCATTTGTAAATTAGTGTGAATTGTACTGTATCTTGCATTTATGGACTTGTGTATTGCATTGTATTCTCTCCTATTTTGTAGAAATTTTGATGTAAAGAAGAAATCTAACTCTGTGTGCGGACTTCTTTTGTTAACTTGACCTGTAACAGAACATAATAGTTTTATGTTAAGGTATCCATTTATAGCCTTGGGCATCCAGTGTCTTTTTTCCCGTTAGCTTTTTTGACATCTTGCTCTTGGGAATGATTCTGGGAATAAAGGAATTTATACAGTACTAAGATGAAGAGAAAGTCTGTTCTAATACTAGGGCAAACTATGTGTCAGAGGTACCTGTAGTACCTGTGGTATAAGGAAGGCTGTTAAAACTGTTTACTTAAACTTCCAAAAATTTCCTATACATTCTTGAATGCTGGTGACTTCTAAACATAAGCGTGTGGAATTGAAGTACTCCTGAAACGCGCGCTCCCGTGGTGACAGCAATTGAGTTAGTTGTGGTAGAAGTCCCCCACCTTAAATGTTTTTGGTGGATATAGCCTTATAATAGGAATAGTTGCTAACTTGTAAGTGCTTATAATAAATGTCCAGATCACTGAAATAGTTCTGCCAGTCATTTTCCTCAACATTAGAACTATTGGCAGCCCCTTTAGACTTTGAAACTTACCTGAGGTATTTTCCCTGTGTGCCATTCCTTCCACCTCCTCCCTGTGCCCACAATGCTACTTCATTAGGGGAAACAAGAATAGAAAAAGCTTCCTTTCCATACTTAATCATCACTGCTTCCTTTTTGACTAAGATTGTGTTTGTTTTGTGAGTACATGACTTCCTATCAGATTTTTTTGTGTAGGAAGTCCCTTCCTGAAGAGGCCTTTGATCTTGGAAGCATAGAGATAATGAAGCACAGTTTTCCCCAAATGCCCAACTGTATTTCATTACTGTTGCCTTTCACTGTTTGTTTTGAACTCCATAGTGTCCTTCAAGCTGTTAGTTTATTCTTGTCGCTGTTGTGTTTAATAACTCCGCTGGAAAATACAGGTGTGCAGATCTCGCTGTCCATCTGACAAATCGATCTTGATGCAGTTTGTACCTCCTGTCAGCTTTACCTGCACCCGGTGGAAGGTACGCGTGCTTATCCATGTTGACACTTGTAAGTTACTAGGGTCCTGGGAAGTGAGTTTATCAAAGAAATACTAGGCAGGAGGGAGGGATGGGCTCAGTAAATATAAGTAAAAGGAAATCGTTCACATGGAAGCTTAAGCTTTTGATGTAGTATTGGGTATGCTTATTTACTTGCCTGATTTAAGGACGAGCAAGTTGTGAAGGGTAACGTTTGTTTCAAGATGAAGTTCAGATTTTTTTTAAAGCCTTTGGTAGCTAACAACAGCTTGCAAAATAGTCTTTTGTTACTCCTACTGCAAAATCTTAAAAAAAACCAAAAAACCAAAAAACCAAAAAAACCAAAACCAACAAACCAACCCAAAAAAAAGTGTGTAACTTTCTGATTAAACAAAACTTGTGTTCTGTAACCCCGTAGAATACAATGTCTTGCTTGGGGTAGTCCTTCCTGTAGTTTGCAGGGGAGGTTGACCACATCTAACCTGTCAGTGTTTGAGGTGGCTGCCTATTCTTGATTTGTTTTAATGGTTTTGTATTGTTGACTGTGTTCTCGGATGCCTTCTAAGGTGTGCTAGATTACTGAACTACTGGAATTAGCTACTGTCTCCTGTCATCTCTTCCACACCAGGCAGGTTGTAGTTACAGCAGTCTATATATGCAAGGCTGATGTTGAGCAGTCTTGCAGCTGATTCTTTCCCCAGCTTTTTATGACTGTGGGCTGCAAGCTGATGGTTTTCATTAGCTGTGAAAGATAGGAAAAGCCACAACCTTTGGTCCTGTGCAAGGTAGGTGTTCTGTTCACCAACCACACAACTTCTAGGAAAGGGGCTCTCGGCAGTGAGAAACCACACAAATCCAGGTGGGACACGTTTGAGGAAACCAAA